AAAAAAAAAAAAAAAAAAAAAAAAAAAAAAAAAAAAAAAAAAAAAAAAAAAAAAAAAACTGTTAGATGAAAATATGAAATATACACTGAGGAAGAAAAGTATGGTAAAAACTACGGAAATATGGTAATTAAAATTATTTAATAAAAAACTTAACATTTTTCTTTGTGTGCAATCAATAAAATTAAAACTATGTTTTTTTTTGCACAGCTGAAATTATGCATGCTAGTTTTTTTTTTTAAAATTTGTATTAGTGGTAAAAATTATATTTTTGTGTGAAATTAAAGAAAGCAACGTTAAACTAGTTCTACGTAAGAATACGCTTGTCTCGAGAAAAATATTTACTATTTCATAATTTAAGATTAAAAAAAAACTGTTTGACTTTTTTTTACGCAGTGTATTCGCAATACTTCTCAATACCATAATTTGTTTTAAAGAATTTTGAGTTCATTTGAATTACTTTTCATTCCTAAAAGAAAATTTTATAGGGTAATCCTTTATTCGTTTAGATAAAGGATTTAGGATCGGAAACAAATTTTAATTGATCCATCTGATTAAATTGAAATTAGTTTATTTTAAGAGTCTTTTCATCAAGTTCTGATAAAAATGAAGCTAAAAATAGAATGCACGACTCCTATTTTGAATTTTTTTTGCATTTAATTTCTATTTTTTCTATTTTGAAATATTTGGTTTCGGTTTTGAAATGAAGGAAAATCAAAATCTACTCCATTAGAAATTTTTGAAATGGTTTTTTATGGGAATTCTGTACCTTTTTATAATTCGAATTGCTAATTTAAGAAAATAGCATTATTCTTTCAAAAGATTTTATAATGGAAGAAGTGTTAAATTTAAAACTGTTTACCAATAAAATTGAAAGCATTAAACATACAAATTGTGTTATACTACAATATAGTTTGTAGATTTCTCAATCCAATTAAAATTTATCCTCACTCTCGAATAAAATTAAATACATTTTAAATCTGAATTATTCGATTTAATAGATAATATAGATATTTCTTCTTAAATATAATAAGATAATGCAATTTTAGTTTCATCAATTTGATTTTTTTAGAGTAACTCTTTACATTCAGAGACCTAATAACAGTAGAGACAGTATTGGTTTTGTGCAAACAAGTGTCAAATTTAATCAAAACCGCCTAGGTTTTAAAAGAACTTTGCTTTAATATTCGTCTTTATTTCCCGTTTCAACAATAAGAAATAAAGTTAGCAACATTGAAAATAAAATTACTATTGAATTCTCATGTAATACTTTTTGATTTTAACTGTTTAAGCTTCTTTCTTACATTACGCATAAATTATACATGAAGAGGGTTTTAAAACTTCGTAGCAAAATCACCGAGATATTTTCGACTCTTTCGCTGGAAAAATTTAGAAATGTTCTGAATATAGGGAGATTGAAGAGTACAGATTCTAGAAATCTGGACTATTTTTTTCAAAACGGGACTTATGATTTAAATGAAATTTAAAACTTTATATCAAAACAAAAAATGCGTGTTTAATTTAACTTCGAATATATTTAATACAATGTTTTCTCTTTGTTCGAATGGAAAATAAATGATTGCATAATTTTGCGCAAATAAAATGGTTAAGTTTCACTCGCAAGAAATGTTAAGTATAACTAATTTTTTCTGCCTTTCTTGGGTTTGCAATTGTATAGAAACAATTCAAAATGTCTTTAATAATTGTAATTTAATAATCTAAGAAAATGTTTGCAACAAAGCATATAGATATTTTTTTTTCAAGTAACTAAGCACATTTTTTTGGATCTAGTTACAATTAAAGAGGCTAGAAAATTCTTGTATGGAGGTATTAATGAAAGTCTTAAAAGGAATTTCATTAGAGTGCAAATTTGATTAGATTTATATCAAAACTTTAAATATGTGGCTAATTTTACTTCGAATATATTTAATATAATGTTTTCCCTTTGTTCGAATAGAAAATAAATGATTTTTAACTAATGATTACTAGCTTTTTCCGCCTTTCTTGTATNTTCGCTTCAAGAATTTTCGCATATTATTCTACAAATCTTCTATTATTAATGCCTCTTGTGATTAATCTTAAATATTATATGTTTGCGTCCAAATGTGAAGTAAACCAAAATATGATTTCAGTATGTATATCTAATTTCTTATATTATATAGTTTTTTTTAAATAAATGTTATATTATTTAGTTGTGATATACTGGGATATCTCAAATGAATGATTGGATTTTAAATATTTATATTTATATTTTC